TATTATTACTATTACTACTATTATCTTTTTTTAAAGAATGGTCAGTTTTTCGAGGATAACGGAGCTTGTCGATCGAGGTTTCTACGCTCTCTTATTTTCTAGCTACTTTTTTTGGTGGAGGAATTGGAATAGAAGTTAATTTTTTCTTTGTAAGTTATCTAGTTGTATAATTATAAATATCGATTTCGAATAATTTTCTACGTGTTTCGTCATTATAATCTGGAATTATCATTCTACTCGCGAAATTCTTTTATGGAACATCGATTGATAGAGAGGGAGCGATTCCAATTCCTCAAACTGTCGTCTGCACGCGATATATTCTCGTGCGATATAAATATGTGCGATAAGATGTTCGATCAAATTCGTGCAAAAAAAAAAAAAAAAAAATTGTAACGAAGCTCGAAAACGAGTGATCGAGAACGTTGAAATTAATAGACTGATCCTTTGAAACAATCTTTAGAAGAGCCTCCCGCAGGATACTCTGAACTTGTGATATTTCAAATATTGTTTGTCACCTAATAATTAACACCTATCCACCGAAGATATATATTTTACTCTCGTATAAACTCACTTACACATGTACATTATATTTTCATTATATTTGTGTTCAAGTTCCTCGAGTTTCCACCGCGTTCTCGATCACGTGGATCTGATCTAATATATAATTCGCTGTCTAATCCGCTTCTCGATCGATCGAAAAGAAATTAGCTATATTTGTTTTGTTCTTTTTTTTTCTTTAAACATAATCATGAAAACAAATGGGAGAAAGTGGAAGAAATAGTAACGAGAGAAAAAGTGAGAGAGAGAGAGAAAGAGAGGGAGAGGAAGAAAGAGAGAGAGAGAGAAAGAGAGAGACTCACACACAAACACAGACACACATAAACTCAAAATACTCTAAGGCAGAGTATTTTGTAAAAAAAAAAAAAAAAGAAAAAAAAATGAAACGCGAAAGGGAAATGGTACGCACATTGAGCCGAGTGAGTGATAATCCCTGTTAAAACAAAAAAAAGTTCTAGTTAAGTGGAGATTTATCGTAATAAATATATACATAAATAAATATATATATATATATAAATATAAATAAATATATATAGGTAAGTCGTGTTGCGTGACTCAACGTGGAGTGCAAGTGAGGAGGAATGCGAGTGGCCACGAGTGAATGAACTTGAGAGTGAAAGGAAGAAATGGAAAGAAACGCAGGTGAGAAAAGGAAACGAGACACAAAACGCGAGAAACAAACGAGTTAAAAAGTGAAAGACACACGCGATGGTTATACGAAAAGGGGGAAAAAAAAAAAAAAAAAAAAAAAAAAACAAAAACAAAGAACCGGGGGAAAAAGCCAAATATGACAAAAATGTTCTTTTCTTTTTTTTCTTTTTTTTTTTTTTTTTTTTTATTCTATTTCTTCTAATCTTCTTTTATTCTTTATTATTTTTGTTTTTTCTACGTAGATAGCGCGACAGGAATTAGTTACTGTCGTTGGATTACGTTTTAAAAATCTAAATCTATCGTTAGGATAGGTCACTAGGCTAGGAAAAAAAAAGAGGCAAACCGGCCGTAGAATTAGTTTTCTATGGTTCACCAACCGGAACCATTTATGGCCGCTATGCGACAAAATCGTATATTCTGATTTTTCAATTTTGCGTGTGCGAGCGCCAGTACATGTAAATAATAACATTATTAACTATATATACGATTAGGGATCGACTTCGTAATCGATTTCGTCGAGCACAAAAAAAGGATTGGAAACGGGATCCCGTTCCCGTTTTTTTTTTTTTTTTTTTAATAACTTAAGAAGCTAAACCGAACAACTCAGAACATACTCATTGATTCTTGTAACGTTATAAATTATAAACGAGCGTAGATTTTTAAAGGAGAAGCTATATACAAATAATGGGATAATGAAAAACAGTGGGGGGGGGATAATAGAAGGACGACGAGGAGGGGGAAAAACACAAGATATGCTAGTGATATAGAAATGAAAATATTCGCAAAATAATTCCCCGAGAAGAGCAAGAGAGAAAGAGAGAAAGAGAGAGAGAGAGAGAGAGAGAATGAAAAATAGAGCGAAAGGAAAAGAATTCTCGCGCGAGATACGTTCCTCAAACGTGACGAGAAGAGAATTCCATTTTTCTTTTTTTTCTCTTCGAACCTTGTCTGTTGCGCGACAATCGTTCCTCTTCGAACGAGTACATTTTTCACACACACACACACACACACATACATACACACACATATATACACAAAAGAGAACTCCCTGAGAGAACCTGATATTTATGCGTGCTCGAAAATGATATACGATTCGATAACTTAACGATATTGGAAAGGATCTAATTAATGATTCGTTTGCAGAGGAACGTCGCGTTTTAGATTAGGGGGAATCAGGAAGCGAGAAAGCGGATCTATCCCTGTATATTGTACACTGTAATTACAATTTATACTTACTCGTAATCGATTACCTTTATCGGTAGGCTATTACAACTAGTGGCTAGCGTAAGTCAAGCTCAAAAATAGGCGAGACTCATCGTCTCCGCGTCTTATTCTTCGTCACGAGTGCACAACTCCTCTCCCCTCCCCTCCCCCCNAATATTCGTAACGCGTACGAGATTGATCGATGAATCGTGTAATTGTATGAGAGATTGATAAATATTCGATCGCAAATTTGATAATTTTAGTTTTAATTAAGTTAATTTGTTCGCGACTCGCAAGGTCTGTTTGCGATATTTCTTGATACGTGAACGTATGGATGTTACGTATATAGGGATGTATTGTAACGCGGAGAAGCGAATTCGAAATATTCGTTGATATGTTTTAGAAGAATATATATTACGCACGAGAAACATAAATCATAATTTAAATTCGGATACGAGTTTCTTAGTAAGGAAATTCGAAAATTATGATGATGTAAATAGTTACATTATCGGAACTTTAAAGAAAGCTCGCTTTTATCGCTTCCGTTCATCGAGATCGGATCTTTTGGATCTTGTTTACGTGTCACGAAATATCTTGTATATTTATCCGAAGATAAAGGGGGATATAAGTAGATCCAAGAATAATAAATGAATTCCTGTACAAAAGAAAATAAGAAAATTAGAGGTAGCCAGGAATAGATTAGAAATAGTATCTGTTTTCCAAAGTTTCTCTTAGAAGAATCTAGAATTCGTCTCGAAGATAGAAACACGGATACTAATCTTCTTCTTCATACTTCTTCTAGAGAAATACTAATTTATATACATATATTATACATATATATATATATATATATTCGTGAAAAAAAAAAAAAAGAAAGGAAGTGCTTCGCGACTTTAATAGAATCCTCTCTCCTTGCGAATTGTACAAAAGAATAATCTAATATAATTAAATAATCGCATGAAACGCTCACGATTCGATCGTCGATCACTTTCTTACGTGTCCCGCGTAACGAAAAAGAAAAAAAAAAAAAAATAGAAAAAAAAATTAATAACTAAAATTAATAACTA